ATTTCCCCAAATAATTTATATCCCTTTCTACTAAATCTTTTTGCATAGTTTACACACAAGGAGATATATATACTTGAGCAAATAAGAAAAATTTCCAAAGGGAAAGAAAAGATATGGAGATTTTTTAAAAAGCATTGGTTACAGTCAGGAAACAATATTAACATCCAACTTCATCAATTCAAAAGCGTCAAACAAAGGTACTTAGAGGTATAAGTGATTATTTCGTTTTCAAGTTATGATTTTTCATTAAAAGTATGAATGAATTGGTACCTTTGAGTTCGGTACTTCAAAACTACTATAATTTGAATGATCATTCTCTTACTCTATATGTTATGATAATTCTATAGAAATCAAATTTTGCCTAAAAATCTATCAACATGTGACAGTATGAATCTAAAGTTCGATTTTTCTAATTTGGTAATAAAATGCAATGATGATATCTATTGGGTTCCAAACTCATGAGCTAATTCCCTTCATATATGTTAATTTGATTTGCTTGGGGCGTGGATGATTGTAGACAAAGATGTAATGTGCTATGGAGAAACTGATGCCTTAATTTTTTAATTTGATTATGAGATGTCCTCTTTTTTTTCTTTTTTTCTTTTTTTGAACAAATAAATTTCTATGAACATCATTTGTGATACCATTTTAGAAATTAACATACAAGTTACCATTTATCACAAAAATGTTAGCGATAAGATTTAGAGTTACTATATTTTTTTTAAATAAATTTGGCTTCTATCCTTGACTTCAAAAATTCCTAACTCGATCGTTACTTGAAATTTTTTGACAAAACCAATGGGGTTTGATAGCTTCATGGGTTAGCTACTGAGTGAATTGGAAATCATGTAAATTTGATGTCTGTAGAATTTTATATGTCACTTTAAGTAAATTGCGCTGACTTATCTTTTAAACATAGTCGTCGAGAAATTTTGGAAATATTTTAGTACCTCAAATTTTGCCGACGGATACTGATTTTGGGATATGTCATAGTATAAGAAGCTCCCTACTTTCCCTTAAAATTTCAGGAAGTTTTAAAATTTATAACTATGTAAACGAGTTTATTTGACACTTATCGTGTGAAAATGGAAAAGCAAAACATATTATTTTCTTACTTAGCGCCTAAAGTGGTTCATGCATGGAAAGCTTTCAAACATTTTATTTATTTGGTAAATATGTACTTACCAATTACGACTATTCAAGTAATAAAATAGGCATATGCATGAATTTGTTTAGCACTTTCTTTCTTTTATATATTCTTTTGGAATTATTTTAATATTATGTTATTGTTCAAAAGTAGTTTTCTCATGAGAAACTCATTTGTATTTTCTAATAATAGTAAACTTTATGTTAAAAATAAAAAATAATAATAATTTTAAGTAAATTTTTAAATTTAATTTTTACATCTTCCACTAAAAGCATAGTTAATTAAATTATTATTTAGGTAAATTTCCAAGTCTAAAACTAAGGTAAAATTGTTCTAGTGATATTTTCGTCCATGCAATTCTGAGCCTTACAGCATGGTA